AGCAATCAGATATAGGTTATATGTGAGCAATCATGCATGTAAAACATTTCCATATTAGTCAATTTGTACAAGAAAAGGAAGGAAGGAAGGAAGGAAGGAAGGAAGGAAGGAAGGAGGAAGGAAGGAGGAAGGAGGAGGGAGGGAGGGAGGGGAGGGAGGGAGGGAGAGGAGAGGGAGGGAGGGAGGAGAGGGAGAGAGAGAGAGAGAGAGAGAGAGAGAGAGAGAGAGAGAGAGAGAGAGAGAGAGAGAGAGAGAGAGAGAGAGAGAAGAAAGAAAGAAGAAAGAAAGAAAGAAAGAAATTTTGCATCATTTTGCATCAGTCAATGTATATCTTTCCAAATTCTACTGAAATCATCTGGCTTATCATTTCTTACAGCACAATAATATTCCACCACACTCATATGCCACAGCTTGTTTAGTCATTCCCCAACTGATGGGCATCCCCTTGATTTCCAGTTGTTAGCCACCACCAAAAAGGGAACAGACCTCTTGGCTGTATCACATAGTATGGGGCAGGGGAGTAACAGCCAGTTAGCCTAGAAATGTAGGTCGGTTCCAGATCACAAAAGATTCTAGAAACAGAACAGAAGAGTTCGTATTTTACTGTAGAGAAAATCAGGAGTCATTGGAGGTGGTTGAGTTGGAGACTCACAGGGCCTTATCTGCACTGACAGGAAAATTCTTTGGCAAATCCTCTCTGGGATGGACTAAATGGAGGGAGACCAATTAGGAAGCTATTGCAATAATCTAGGTGAGGAATGATGATGGCAAAGGTGGTAGCTGTGTGAGAGGAGAGACGGAGTAAGATTCAAGAGATGTTGTGAAGGTAGACACTTTAAGATCTGGCAAATAATTAGACATGGAGGATGATGGCAAGTGAAGAATCTAAAATAATGCCAAGGTTATAAATCTGAAGACTTGAAGGATGGTGGTGCCTTGACAGAAGCAAGGAAGTTTGGAAAGAGGAGAGGGGCAGGTGGCAAAGATAATGAGTTCAGTTTCAAATGTGTTGAGTTTAAAGATGTCTACTGAACATTCAGTTTTAAGGGTCTAAAAGGCAATTAGATATGTGGAACTGAAGCTCACAGGATAAACTGGGGCTGAATGGAAAAGGGAGGAGGGAGGATAGGCAGAGACAGACAGACAGACAGATAGATAGATAGACAAACAGGTAGATAGACATAAGGTTCTATCCTAGGTCCTTTTCTCTTCACCATCCATAATCTCGGTACAATATTCATCAGCTTGCATTGACTTAACTCTCATCTTTCTGCACGACTCACAGATTTACATAAAATACACCTATGTGTGTATGCATATATGTGTTTATTATAGCTGTTTATGTATATGTGTGTATATATGTAAATATGGATATACATGTATATTGCTATAAATGTATATTTGTGTCTATGTAAGTACATAAAGATATGTAAATCTATGTATTCATGTGTGTATGTGTTTTTATAGATACCACAACATGCCCTGGTACAAAAAAACAATCTTTGTGGCACAAAGTTTTCCCTAGTGATGTTATTGTGAATCCTGGAACAGCACAATACCTGAAAAAGGCTGAGTGTGGAACACAGGACAGTGGACAGGTTTTGTGACACTCCTCCCTCCTGGTGTGACCAACACTTTTCATTCTCCTTTGCTGGATCACATGCAAAGATGGATACACATCACATGCAAAACCATGGCTGTCTTCCAAGTGTCTGTCCTGTGTCCTTTTATCTTCTCCCTCTATATTATTTCTCTTGTTGTTCTGATCTCTTCTCATAGATTCAGTTATCACCTCTAGGCACATTATTTTCAGATCTCTTTGTCCAGATATAACTCTATATAATTTCCTTAAGTCTAGCCTCACATCTCCGATTGCTTACTGGACATCCAGAATTGAATGACATGTAGACATCTTAAATTCAACATGTCCAAAACTGAACTCATCTTCCTCTCTTCCTCTCCCAGCTTTCCTATTACAGGTGAGAATACCACCATTCCTCTAGTCTCCTAGGCTCACAATCCAGGGGTTATCTTCAACTCCTCCTCTCTCTCAATCCCCAAATCCAATTGGTTGCCAAGTCCTGTTGCTTCTGTCTTCACAAGATTACTCACTCATTCCCCCTTCTCCCCTCAAAAACTGTCACCACCCTGGCATTGGTCCTCATATCTTTGCACCTGGACCATTGCAAGAATCTTCTGGTTGGTCTTGCCCCAACTTTCCCCACTTGAGTCCATCCTCTACTCAGCTGTGGAGGTCCGACCTAAATCTCAGGTCCAACTACGTCACAGACCCATTCAATCAACTCCAGTAGCTGACTCTCAAGTATAGGAGCAAATAAAAAATGCTTTGTTTGCATTCAAAGCCCCTCCTAGCCTTGCTCCATGCTCCCTTTCCAGTCTTTTTATACCTTACTCCACTCCATGTATTCTGCTATCCAGTGATGCTGGCCTCCTGGCTGTCCCTTGCACAAGATGATTCATCTCCTGATTGTGTGAAAGTTCATCGACTGCCCCCATGCCTATAATGCTCTCTTATCTCCTCTCCATTCCCTGGCTTCCTTCAAGGCCCAGATAAAATCCCACCTTCTACCAGAAGCCTCTCCTGATCCTCCTTAATACTACTGCCTACCTTCTGTTGATTATCTCCAATTTACCATAAGATATATATGTATGCATGTGTACACATATATAGCTTATAAATATACACAGTTATTTGCTATACTGCATATATATGTGTGTATGTACATATATACATATGTGCCTTTATATACACACACACAGAGTTGTTTGTATGTAGTGTCCCCAGTAGGCCAGAATTGAAAGCGATTATTTTTGCTTTTCTTTTTCATCCCTAGCATTTAGCACAGTGTCTGCAATATAGTAAGTTTTTGACAAATGTTTATTAACCTCATACAGTAAGACTAGACTGCAGCATATTTTCAGCAATGACATACATGCAAGAAGTAGAATGAGGAATGATTTCCATCGTCAACTGGATGATGAGGAAAAGAAGGCGGTCAAGACGGACGCTGTGAGTGCCACCTGGAGACACACAGAATGCTAAAAAAAAAAAATCCAGGAAAGTGTTGGGCACACTGGGTAGATGCTCTGGGAAGAATCTGTGTCCATGAATGAAACACAGATGAAATCTCACCTCTCGTGCCCCTCAGACAACTCTCTAGAGCTTCCCAGATTATGGAGCAGGTGCTGGTTAACATTTCTTGGGGTGCTTTCTTATCAGACATCAACCACCCCAATGGAATCACAGGTGTGAACCCCCAAAGCCACCTGGCCCCACAAAAAATTATGCAATGGGCTTTCACAAAGTGTGATAAAGGGGAAAGTGCAAACATTGGGCAAGTTCTAAGGATTTCAAGTGAGTACAATCAAGAAGCACCTCTCCTTTCAACCCTTTGCCCAACAAATGGGCAAGACTGTCTGACTGCAGTGGGCCTCCCTGCCCATGTGGGGGAGGAAGCTGTTTCTTCCACAGCTTAATATCTGCCAACATGTCCTGCCATCTTTCACCCAGTCCCCTGAATAAACCTGCTCTTGCCTGCAAAAAATCTGCAGAGATTACCCAATCCACTGAAGCTGGAGGTAGGCAAAAATTACTTCAGAAGAACGGCTGAATTCACCATGAAGAGGTTTTATTTTTTAAAAATCATCATAATAGACAAGCGTGTTAACAATAATCTTTATTGCCAAGGTTTGTGACTCATGTGGAGTCTGGCCCATTATTGGGGAGGAGTGAGTTGAGAGAGACCAAGAGATCCTTGATCCCCAAAAAAGGAAAGGGAAGCTACTAATCAGATGATCTTTTCATCTAAATCCTCTTGGAATTTTCCAGATGGTGACTGAGTATAGCAATTCTTTCAGAGTAAACACAAGAATATGCATCATTTCCCCACACAAAATCAACATGATTATAATGAGGAATAAATTTTTGATGAATGACATTTGGAGTTTAGACAGCAACTGTTTGACATCTTTAGGACCTGAGAGTAAATCCTTTCCACCAAACCAAATAGCCGTTGGCACTTCCACTTTGCTAGTGTCGTAAGGCGGAGGAGTGGACTAAAATGAAAAGGAGGAAGAAAGACGTAACAGATCCAGCCTAGGTCTGCTCAGGGCCCTTCCTCTCCAGTGAGGTGACAAAGATCCCTACACCTGAACCAAGTGGCAGGATGTCCTCCTCCTGGTTCTACACTCCTTTCCACTTTCCCCCAGAAAAGAAAGGTGAAAGGGAAGGCAGGAGATCATTAGGAAGGGGAGATGATGGAGAACTGCCTGCTGGGGAAGGAGTTCTTTCTTTTCTGTCCTAAAGCCCAGCAAGAGCTTGGAAGTGTGAAACCTCTGAATGAGCATGAATGCCTTCCCATGGGGCTTGGGCATGCTGAGAGTGAACATGTCCTTCCTTGGGTAAAAACAAAAACTTCAACATTCATTTTCCAAAAGGCTATGGATAGCCTTCATTTCCAATCTTTCTGGCATCTGGTCAACCTGTTGTTGTTTACATAGCAAAAACTGCAATCTTTGTCCTTTCTCCCTCTCCCTTTTGAGTAGACTTCTTAATCTGGAGTCCAACGACCCTCAAGGGGTCCACTGATAGATTTCAGGGGGTCTGTGGACTTGGACAAGGATAAATTACATCTTTCTTTTGACATAATCAGTTTTCTTTATAATCCTATGCACATAAAAGCCATTTTTGGAGAAGGAAGTCTCACGAGACTGCCAAAGGGGTTTGAGAGGATTGCTCCAGTCCTCTCAAAGAGGCTGTCACTGAACATATCTGTACCTTCCCTAGAAAGGTCAAGCAGTATCCCAGGCAAGGCTGTTCACTAGCCTGTAGCCTAAGAAAACGGATCAGGGCATTCTTTCTTCATGCTTTTGCACAGGCTATGAGGTCTATAGTGCCAACTTTGCCAAGAGATTAAAGTATTGGGTAGAGGCTTCAGTGTTCTCCTCTTACCCAAGCTAGTATTTGGAAATAATCTTACCTGATTATAATACTTCATATTCAGAGCAGGACTCCCCAGTCATAAGCTTCAAACCTCTTTGAATGAAGAGTCTGAAATGAAGGCCATAACAGATAACTAAGCATAGATCTCTGGGGCTTTAAGGAACCTTGGCACAATCTAGGCTGAATTCCTAATAATAATACCAGGTGGTCACTCCAGAGTACTTGGTGATCCTCACAACATCACTTGAGGGAGTACTACAGGTCACATTGTTCCTATTTTGGGGATGAGGAAGCTGAGTCTTATAAGAGTTCAGTGAGTTCTCATTGGATAAATAGCTAGTGAGTATCAGGGTGGGATCTGAAGTAAAGTTTCTTGATCCTAGGCCCAGCACTTTGTATACCACAATTGCTGTCTCATAGATTTCCCAGATGCTAATGACTGTCACTAAAAATATATGTGTCTCTTTCTCCCTCCCCTCCCCAGCCATGGCAGCCACATATATGACAGTGGTACATTCCCTTGAAATGGCTGATTCTCCATCTTGCTGGAAGTCTAAGGGAGAGATGTGCTGAAAGACTGTGTTCCTCCTAACTCAGTCACAGTCATCTTTGATAAAATCTTCTAGTTAAGAGGATGAGCAAAGAGTCACAAGGCATACAGCCTTCCACCCATAGCCAGAGTGAATGCCCAGTTCCATGGGAAGTTTCCCTGGTTAATCCTCTGCTACAGATGGAAAATGGGACAGGTTGATTAGTGTCCCAAAAAATAACATTTATTGGGATTCTATTTCTTCAGTTCCTTATATGCGATGAGGAAGTGGGACCAAGCCAAGTACCTAGAGGACATCTGTGCTGGCGGAAGCACAAATTAGTGCCAAATGAAAGCATTGGGAGGGAATTTTCTAGGCTATCTCAGGGAGGGGATGATACTAAAAGAATGGAAGGACTCATGGACAAATTTAGAGGCAATTGAGAGGACATGAGTAAGTACTGATTTATATGACTAGATCCTCATCTTTGTGAAGTTCATTTTGTTTGTTTGTTTGACAATATGTATGTGTATCCTCAGAGCAAGTGCTCTGGAGGTCTATGTTACCTGAAGTGACTGGTGCCTGAGAAGGGTCATCCAAAGTGAATACACTTACCAAAGGACCAATTCCATAGTGGAGTAAAAAAGATTTTATTGGGACTTTATCTTGAAAAGTGTAATAGAAATTATGAAAATAGGTTATTTTTATCTTATATTTGTCAAAATTTAAGTTATTATGATTAATTAATAATTATAATGATACATGCTAATTTTCAATTGAGCAAAAATGAATGGTGTTGATTTGGGGTAGGGGATGGTATATTTTTGGACAAGATGGTAGAACACAAGGAACGATCCTTCATATTCCATTTGACAGGATCCTAAAATGTGTTACTGTTGCCAAAAAAGCATCTGAAGTCTCCATTAATTTTCTGTAAGACCTTTCTTATTCCTTTATGTTCAGCTCATTTTCCACCTGCAGACAGTTACTGGGAGGCTAAGTGAGAAAGATGTTAGGGATAAGCAGGGAAGAATTGTGAGGGAGAACTAAAATGGCTGATTCACTGGGGATACGTTTGTATGATGATTTTCCTTCTCCACCCAACTCATATTGAACAAGCATGATGCAGCAATGAGGAGCTGGAATAGGAAAACAGAATTATACCTCTGCCACATGGGGCTTGGTGACCCTGGCACAGCTTTCAGCACCCAAGGAATGTGTCAATTCTGCATTGGTACAGGAAGTTTTCCTGACTGGGAGTTCTCTATAGGGGAAAGTATAGGTCTGGACCCACATTCCCCTACCAAAAGGATACAGCATCATAACTCTGAGCTTGACCATGTTGAGTGTGAAGAGATAACAGACTCTCTTCGCAACACTTTTCTGCACAAACTGCCTTTTTTTCTGTCCTACAGTTGCCTGGGAGGTACAGAGATCCTTGACATTGTTTTGCTCATTGTTTGATTACCAGAAGCTCAGCGCAGCAGGGCCCTGCCTTCAAGGCACTTTTTCAACAATGTTACATTTGTTGCCATCCTACAAAATTCCTTAACTGATGAAATCAATAAGAAACTTCAGTTCATCAACTCTTTCCTTAACCTGAATGAGGAGCTGGGATGGGGGTGGCCCCTGGCATAGAGGATGGCTTGTTATTGGTCCCTATAAACAGTGCCATCACCCAAGCTCTCTGACTGGATGGCCTCAGGCCCCAGAAGCTCATTGAAGAATTGACCACTACCCAAAGGGATAAGCCTAACACCTCATCTAGGGGTAACACAGGTTATCAAGGAGAAATTTCCCATGAAGCTTGAAATGCCTCTAGTTCAATACTGAAGAACATGCATATTGGTGCCATGGTCTCCATACCTGGGGAATCCACTGATGAAGACTGGTGCTGAGTATTATGAAGGAAAGACCCTGTGAAGGCACTTCTCCCTCAGTGGTGTCTGACAGAGGTGGAAACAAATCGTCTCCCTTTGACCTTCTGGCTTTCTAGTGCTCCTCTTCCTTGGACTTCTGGTGGATAGGAGGCGGGGAAGCGTGGGAGCTACACTGTATTTAGGACACTGAATCTAATTGTGCTTCAGACGTCTTAATGCAATTTTATGCTCTATTAGCTTAAAATGGCACTAAATTTGGGGACACTATATATGTAGATGTACTTGTATATGTATACATGTACATATGTATCACATATACATGTTGTGTATGTGTGTATGTATACACATGCATGGATATGTATATGCCTTGGTATATATGTATATGTTGCCTATATGTATATGGATGTACATGCATATTTGTTTATACAATGATGTTTCAGTCATTCTGCATAACTAAGAACCATGAAATACCAGAAGCTTATACTATTCAGAATTGTAAGTGGTCCAAAGAGAGACGTGTGAGGGCCTAAGTCAGCTACAGTACATTCCCAAGGACAGCCTGAATGTAGGGAGTGGTATAATAATAATTATTTATGATCTTACTGAGCCAATGTATAATCGAGGGACCATCATGTAGCAAAGGCTGGTGCTTGGGCAGCCTGAGAGCTGCACCATGACCCAGGAAATAGAAAGAGATCTAAAGGGGAATCCAGCATACAGGAAAATTGTGCTCAGCAAATTATTTTGGAATCAAATTTTAAAAATTATACCTGTAAGAAATGGCGCACATCTTTAACAGAAGAACCTGCTGGGTTTTGTCAAAGATATATATCAATGCGACTCTGCAAAAATAGATATAAAGAAATATTTTTTTTTTCCAAATTAGTTTCCTTTCACATCTGATGACTTTCTGGCAAAACTTGACTGGAGTATTTCCAGGCTAATGAATTGGGATTGTGTGTTCATGGACAACCTTTGGTTAGGCCTGACCCAGAGAAATCTTTCTGTAATTGAATTGGAGATATGCTAATGTTTGTCTGAGAAGAGCCAATATGTTGAAAATGGGGAGGACCTGAGAGTCCATCTGAATCAGAATGGAAATCTGTCTAGACAGGTGTCAATCACCGAACAAGCATTTATGGAAGGCTTCAGATGCAAGTAAAAGGTTTTGAAGGCGGAGAATGGACCAGACTTACTACCTGATCAAATATGTGGGTGGAGGAATGGGCAGTGAAGAAATACGGATGACTCTCATGGTGGAAACCTGAGGGACTGGAAGGTCCTGGGGCCCTTGACAGCAAAAGTTGAATCAGGAGTAGGTGGGCTTAGAGGGAAAGGTGATGTATTCTGTTTTGAACATGGTAAGTCTGATATGCCTATGAGACATCTGGTTGGAAATGTCTAACTGGCAGTTGGAGACATACAAGACAGATATGGAGGATATATGTGTTGATTTAGAAGTTATTTGCATAGAGAGGGCAGTTAACTCCATGGCAACTGATGAGATCACCAAGATAGACCATGTAGAAGAAAGAGAAGGCCCGGAACCCAGGTCTGGGATACACTAGTGGGAGGAACCAGTGGAAGATTCTGCAGGAAGTGAGCTCTGACAGAGTAATGTCACAAAGCACAGGGAGAAGACAGTGTCCAGGCGGAAAAGGTGGTCAACAGGGTCACATGTTGCACAGGACTGAGCAAAGCTACTAGATAAAGGGCAGTTTTAGTGAAGTGGAGGAAGAACCTAGACTACATTAAAGGAGTTTAAGAGTGAGTGGCAACTGAGAAAGTGTGGACAGCTCCTTCTAGTTAATAGTGAAAAGGAACACAGAGCAGAAGAGTTTTCAGAGATGGTAGAGGGACCAAGTCAAAGTGCTCTACATGCATTATTCTGTTAAGTGCGTGTGTGTGTGTGTGTGTGTGTGTGTTTACGGCTACTTTGTTGAAATTGATGGTATCAAATCCATTTATCAACAATAAGACGTCGTCACAAATTGTGGAAAAGATCTCACGGTTGCACAGATCCTGGCCAGTGAAGCGGGTTAAAAAGCTATTGGGAAAGAATTCCTTTTCCCCAAACAAGATCTGCAAAAGGCAGGTTAGAGAAAGATGTCAGTGAGCAATAGCAGAGCTCTATCCTTCTCACCTGCACAGCAGGGCTGGGTTCCTCAGGAATTTTGACATTGCTTAGCAGAAATGACCTGCCGAGGATCATTTTCCATAGATGCCCCTACTCGTCACTCTCAAACCCTGGTCAGTGTCCAAAGGAAACCAGTCCTGTAACACCTCAAAGAGCAAAGCCACAGACAAATTCCCCAGAGTGCCCTGCCCTTCTGGCAAAAAACCAGAGAGGCCCAGGGAAATGAGACCTGGCTTTAGCTATTAGGGCCAAGCTGACTGGAAAAAATGTAAGCTGATGGCTTCTTCTCCAATTCAGTTGGGTAGGTTCTGTGTGCCTAAGGGGTACAGGGGACAGGAGGGTTTCTGAAGGGCAGCCAAGAACATTCTGAGGACCCTTCAAAGCGGAGGCCACATTTGTAGCTCTTTCGTGAATCACAAGTGAAAAATAGACATCTTTAGAATAGGCCAGTAATGCTGCCATCCTAAGACATGCCATTGTACTGTCTCAGTTGGACAGTGAATGTGACCCAGAAAGCAGAGAAAAATGAAATTGGTAAAAAATCACCCAAATTAAGACAGACATTTTCTGTGTCCATAAGAAAAGAAAGGCAAGAAGAGATTTAAGGTAGGGATGAGAGAGAGGAGTGAAGGGCAAGGAGCAGGAAACTAGCTGGTAGGGCTAGGAAGATTCAGAAAGGCAACAATACAAGGGGAAATGGAACTCTTGCATGGGGAAAGAAACAGCAAACACTTCAGAAAAGCTTTCTTTAAAGAACATGGAGCACTTCTGGCCAAGTTGGCTGCACAAAAGAGACAAAAACTGAAATATGACACTGGCCCAAATAATGATAAAAATATCCAATGAACAAATACAGTGAGTGGCTTCTTCCACCCAAGACCCATCCTCAAGGCCAGACAGAAAGCCAAGAACAGTAGGAAAGAGCACCACGTGTTAAGGCATGAAAGATGGCAGCCTCCCAGGATGAACGAAGATTGGCCAGCGACCCTCACAGCCCACAATGCTCTGCATCCTGAGGCAGCAAGAGTAAAGGGCTCACCCAGGAATCTCCAGAGGGACTGAAATTGATAGTGGTCTTGGAAGCCACCAGGAGCAGCAGTGCCCAGAGCAGGCCTGGGCTCTGTCCCAAGTCACAGTAGACTACCCTAAAGATCCAGTACTCTGCACCTCAACGAGTCATGGGGGTCTAGCCCCAAGAAGTAGAAGTCATTGCTCTCAGGTCAAGCCCTTTGGTGCTTTCGGTCTCTGGGGTTCAAGATATCAGAAGGTCCTGAGTATCCTTTCATTCGGGCTCTCTCCTTTCTGCCTCCTCTGGTTCATAGCTATTTGAAGTATCATTTACCTTGAATAACGTGTCAGGGAGTTTTGCCAGGAGCAAGGTAGGACCATGCAGATCATTAAGAATGGAAATTGGAGCTAATGCAAAATTAATCTTGATCCTTTCAGCCACTTTGGGGTTGGTTGACATCCCTTCAAAGGCTGAAAGATAAAAAGCAACTAAACCCCATCCTTCCCTTCTTTCCCCAGAGCCAGCAGCCCAACTCCAGCCCTGATTATCTCCTGCCCAGATTATGCCTTCATCTCCTAGATGGTCTCTCTGTCTCTCATCTTTCCCAATTTCACCCCAATCAACATTCTCCTGCCTCTGACACTTACTGCCTCTGAGTCTCAGTTCTATCCCATAAGATAGCAAGAGTTCTTATGTGACAAGGCTGGCGGGAGAATCAGAGATGGGGTCTGTAGAGCACTTTGCCGACCTTAAAGTGATGCATAAATGTTTGTTGTTATTATGACCTTCTACAGCCCACAGTACCTAGCACAGGGCAGGGAAGTAGAAGCATTATACAATTTACCTTAGGTGGGATGAATAAATGGATTAAGGAGAAAAATTCCTATGATGGTCAAGTAGGGAAATGAATAGTTAGCACCTTAGAACAACGAATGAAAATTCAAAATTATATTAAGAGAATGGATGTCAGTCTGCACAAAAATCCCATGAAATAAAAAAGAAGGAAATTCAG